TATTATGATCTAATGAGCTACACACGGTAAGTGATCCATCCTATACCAGCGCCTTAGAAAATACCGTGTGTAGACTCAAAACTAAATATAGGTAACAATATTCTATGGAATGAATTTATTCAACTTTGAATTGAATAACAATTAAGTAATAAATGGTGGACGGCAAGGAAGTCTTTACAAGTATAGGATATTCAAACATATTGAAGCATACATATTATGTACAAAAGATTTGCATTTGACAGTTTTGTTTTTGAATGTTTTACTGTGCAAACCTTAACTATAGAAAACACGTCATACATATTGTTATTTAAAATATAGTAAAGTAAAAACATGTTTACTTGGATTAGTTTACGCATAGTTTGATACGATTTTTTAAAAAATCACGGTAAAAATAGGTATTATTATTAAACTTTATTAATTACAACCAGGCTTACCCATTTTTAACTGTATCTCATATATATAATGAATACTATTTTACTAGGTAGTAGTACTATTGTAATGGAATTTATTAGTTATACAATATTTTATAACTGTTGACAATGATTCTTTTTTTTTTTTTTAACAAGAATTTCAGATTTATTAATTGCACAGTGTCGAAAATCGTCTTTGTAACGTTTTAACCGTCCCCTCCGAATACATGTACCGCAAAGGCCATATTCCTTTGCATTTCATTGTTGATTTCCTCGTCCGTATGTAAATCGTTATTGTGTGGATAAAGCTCGACATAACCGACCATGTTGACGTACCGCTGTGAGAACTCTTGGCACTTGAGCTCAAACAGGGGTATTCCGTTTTCTTCTTCGCTGGCAGCCAACCCGAAAGCGTTTAGTATTTCGCTTATCGGCTGCGTTGATAGGGAATTAAATCTAAAATTTTCCCACAAGAAACTCATCGAGTACCGGTAGAAATGGTGAATTAAAATGCCGTTTATGTTCAACCGGTTGTTCGCCGCGATCGTCACAAGCTCGCAGAACCGGTGTAGAAAAGAAATACCAGCACTCTCGAGGGCGTTCATCAGTCGAACATAGCCTTGCAAGAACGCACTACGATGATAGTAATAGCTCAACACATCGACCACCAGTTGTCCGTGCGTTTGCAGGGCTAGGTCGTTCTCGTACAACAAGAGAGCCGTGAACGATTGTCCGACGACTTGTTGTGCTGTTTTCTCATACGGCTGGTCGCTGCTGTCAAAAGGGACAGTGTCGGCATAGGATTCAATTGTGTCGGTAACGGAATCGGCGAATGCGAGGCGTTCGGTCTGGCTGATGCACGGTTTGGTTCTATCAGTGTAACACGTACCTTCGTGCAAGACAAAGCCCAAAATTTTCCAATCGCCCCTAAGCGCTTCGAACAGTCCTTTCTCGGCTCTGCGTTGGACCACATTCAGCAATTCCGACTGTTGATGGGTTTGCGGAAGAGCACACGCAATCATCATTACACATAGTTTCCACGCGGACATGGTTAACGTTTGAGAACTTTTTTCTAAAATTGGCAAAATCGTTGTTGACAAACAAAGCGCACAAATTATTTCGTTCTGTTCGCGCAAACGAATGAGTTTTTTTTTTTAGGTACCTACAAGTATTGCACGATCGGCGCAACACTCAAACGGTAATGTTGGGTTTATTTTTGTTGAAAAAAAAAACACATATTTTTCACACGGTCTGAACACCTGAAAAATATTACTGTTTGTACTGTGTCTATTATTTTGAGGCTGTTTTTTTTTTTCTGTACTAAAACTTTTAAGATATAATACACAGGGTGATCGATTGGGGATAAGACACTCGATATCTCTTAAAATAATTGCAATTTTGTAGTGTTTCAATCCGTCATTTTATAATAATCAGTGGCGTAGACACGGGGGGGGGAGGGGCTTAGGGGGTTCAAACCCCCCCTTACACTTTATTTAGCTTAATACTTAAATTTTATAATACCGTTAGTTGTTTTAATTGTTATCACATATCAGTTATCAATATAAAAATTACAATTGTTCAAAAAGAGTAAAAACATACCTTAGAAATACTATGAAAGAGGTAAATTGTAATCATATACAATTTTTAATTGTATTTTAATCATCTAACTTATTTTAAACAGGATCGTCTAAATGGCTTAGTTTTTCTAAGCTATTATCGAGATGAATTTGCCAAAAAACCAAGAAAAATAGATATTTTGTTATAACTTATAAGTGTTAAAAAGTGAAATAAACTTAGTGTTTTTTTTTTGCAACGCCTGAAAAAGTATTGCATGAATTAGCAAGTAAGCCAAGAAAAATACAAATCTTGTTATAAGTGAAATAAGTTTAATGAGTTCTTTTTTCCAACCATTAACCCCCCCCCCCCCCCATAACAAATTCCTGTCTACGCCACTGTTAATAATATTATAAAATTTCTAATTACTTCCATTTGTTTAGCATTTCCCAAAGCTCTTTACAATTTTTAAAACTTAAATGGTAACATATATTTAACTAACTTCTGAATTAAGAATAATTTGCTGAAAGTTAAATTTAGTTTAAGTTAAATTAAAAAAAGGCATTCAATATGTACGTTACTGTTTAAACGTTGTACATTTATAGAGGTTTAGAAGAAAATAAAAAAAGATTTGATTATGGGCTAATATTGTAAAACAACATGAACTAAAGTGTCTCCAAAAAGGAAAACTACAAAATTGCATATATTCTAAGAGATAATGAGTGTCTTTTCCTTAATGAATCACACTGTATATGACGTGTCTTATTGTGTATACTCAATATCCGATTTAGGTTTGTTCATACAAAAATATTTAATTAGACTATGGAACACCTATCAAAATGATGTAATGAAATTGCTGGTTAGCTGGTAACCAGTTTTGAGTCATTAGCGTTTAAAAGCCAGGTCATTATTTTCATTACAAAAATATTCTATATTTTGTCTTTTTAACTTCTTAACAATTTTTTTTTTTTTGTAGCAGTATGAATAGAAGATATTAGAATATTTTAGAATACTAACCCGTTTACCCTATTACTGTGTTTGTTATAAGTTGAACTTTATAATATGACTTTTTTTAAATAATATTCTTTCAAGTTGAACATTAAAAATGTAGTTCGGATCTTTGTGTGTAAGATTTATGTCTATTTAATTGCGCACTTTTTTATAATAAAAATAAATCTTAAATTCCAAGATAAAAAAATTACCTATCGGTACAACCGTCCAAGACAAAAATACAAGATTTCGGTTCATTTGATTAATTAAAACAAATCATCTATTATTTGGTATAAATTATGTTTTGTGTCAAATTGGATTAGCATTATGAATTGACCCTATGAATAAAAAAATACTAGGTAGTAACGTTGCTTAATAGGACGATTTGGTTATCTAGGTCGAGTGATTATTATAAATGGATTCTTAATTGACTCGATTGTGCAATAATATACTTTAATGTTGCATATTCACCGCGGTAGCTATTAATTGGATGCTGAGTTCAAATGTAATATGTTTAAAAAACACAATATAATAAGTGTGGTATAAAGCAAACACAATTTGTATTCAATCAATTACTATATACAGCGTGATTGTTTATTTACAACCCCAATATATTTTTATATTTGTTTTCAGTTAATTATGTCCAATATTATTACAGAAAATAGATATCAACCATCTTCACTTCTGTCAAACCCAAATTCTGTATATTTTATTATTATTATACTTTTAATTATTTTTATTTCTGTTGGTCTGCCAATTCCTTCGCTTCAATATTCTATAATGATAGAGAGAAAAACTGGAAGAGGTAGACCAAGAACTCCATTTATAAAACAGACCATAGAAGATATAAGAAAAATCACTTACAAAAATATCTAAAAGTAGCTGTGCTGGATAGGGACGAGTGGAGGTCCATCATTTAACCAATCTAAGGATTGAAAAAAATGTTGTCTTAGAATAATAGACCGAAACCCATACAGTCTAGGTCTGGTTTTTAGGAATACTTTATTTGAACCAAATTTAAACTTTCAATCTATAATAAAACTTAAAATTAGAGTTAAAATAGATTAGAATTTAAATTATAATTAAAAAGTACATTGGTACTTTTTAAAAATAAATATATTTATGATTTAAACTGTACTTTTTACAAATTATAAAAAAAAATGTTAGGCTTTGAATTCATTTTTTACTTTCAGCTTTTCGTACTGTTATTTTTTCGTTTAATTCTTCTCATAGGTAGTCAATAAAAAAATGCGATATTGCTGTTCCAAGAACTTGCGGTGACCAAATTATTCACAGTAATTTAGGTTTGGTGAAAAACTGAGAACAGGCATTTTTCTAGAGCTTTATTTTGACGTTTTATGCATAAAATAAGTTGGCCGATAAACTGTCTAATATATCGTTTATTTTTTAGTAAAACAGATTTTGGTACAAACAAATTTGTTGAAAACAACTCCTGTCAGTCTCATCTTGTTGCCGACGTTCAGACACTGATAAAAATTAACACGGGGAAGATTCTTATCAAACAAAAACAGGGTGGCCAATCTTCTTAGATGTCGCAGTGTGACCAATATCGAAACTGCGCGTGTACACCAATATAACGTTAATAATGTATACATTATTATTATTATTTGTGCATACATATTATAACATTTAAAAAAATGGCCTTCACTTACAATATTATTGCCAACATCGAAAGTGACTCTTCTGCTTTCATCATAATATTATCTATTCTGTGGTTCATCGTCGGTGACGTCATAATTCATTATTATGTGTGCGGTAGCTGCTGTTGCACCCGCCGCGCGCATAATTATTATTTTCGGTATTACGTATTTGTCTTTGGCCAGGTGAAATTATCAACATTATTATTATTAATATAACTACTATTACTACTGCGGTTTTTATTATTAGCAACAGAAACGGAGACGGCGACTACTTTCACTGTCGTTTTGTGTGTATCCATTCCACGAGCCCGACACACGGGTATACGATATTAATATTATTATACAAAAAACTGGTACCTATTTAGCTTTCGACAATCCGCCGTTTCTTAAGCGCATAACATCATTGCGAATCCCCGCAGTAGTGTTATAGCAGCCGGCCTTGTCCTATCCAATCTATTTTGGCCGCGTTGAATTGCATATTATTTTCTTTAAATCATTTTTGTATCAATATCGTTGCGATTTTTTTTTCCCGTTTTGCCGTCCTCGCGCGTTCGTCAACACTACCAACATGAACACCGGCGTTGCGTTGGTCACCGTGGCCGTTCTGTTGGCCACCCTGCAGAGTACCGCCGTCGCCGAAGACTTGTCGGCAGCTGGCTTCGACGACCCGGCGCTGGACGCCCTGGCCGAAGGCAAAGCGCCGGCCAAAGACAAACCCTTGTTGGACGACCGGTCCAAGAGGCAGTTGCCGTCGGTGCAGAGCAAGTTGTTGAACTTCCTCAAAGTAAGTATAATCCAAAAACAATCGGTGATTTTCGATTTTCAAAATTAATTGTTTTTTTTTTTAAGTCGCAACGTTGATTTCATTTTTTTTTTTATTTACAAAAGCTCAAATTTTTGGATTTAACCAGATCAGTTCTAACCCCCGCTTGTTTTGACTTGCAATTCGACCACTGCCAACAACTGTGTTATACAGTGTGATCGATTGTCTTAAATAACAAGAATAAATGAGCGTCTCAGCTAATACAATTAATACAAATAATACTACACTCCATCGTTTTTCCCGTTCCAAATTTTCAATTTCTACAACTTTATTCCTAAACCGGTTATCGAAACTAGTCAAAATTTCCGACAAATTATTTTTTAATTTAAAAATTTAATAAATTATTTACGTTACTATTTAAAATTATTAAGTTCATACGGCTTTAACATATTATATGGGATACGGTTATATTTTTCAAAAATATATTGAATTTGTTCCAACCAATAACTATAAAATTATAAAAAAAAATAATTAAAAAAAGTCTAAATATCTTCTATGTTATTGACTGGTCCATAGTTAACCAATCGCCCGACACATGATACTTTTTTAACTTTAAAATCTAACTTAAACCTTCCCGTCAGCACTAACTACTAGGTAAGTATATTACTAACCTGAGGGCAAAAACCGTTTGGCAACACTTTCCACGGCTACATAAGCGTTGTCACTCAGGTTAACAGGGCCGTTACATTTAAACGACTAAAAGATGTCAAAGGGAAGCGAGTAAGGCCGGCGACGATTGCCTTTTGAATGAGGTTTTCGTCTTGTTTTTAATATATTACTTTGAGTATGGCAATAAAAAAAATCTCTATTAGCCGCAAGTGGTTTTTTTTTGTCGAGCGTGACTTTCTATCCGACGGCAGTTGGAGCTGGTAACCAGCTATACTTGTTTCGGATGAAAACAACAGCGGCACCTTCTCTAGTTGTAAGAAAAAAAAATATTAAAACAAACCTAGTGCTAATTGCAATTGTTACAAGGTTATCAGATTTGCACGCTAAACCTGATTTTTGAAGATGATGTACTAAAGTTTTGACAAAAAAATGTATGTGAATGTAGTAAACTCTAAACTTAATCGAACTCTAATAACATCAATGTAATGGCTCGAAATCGGTCATCGACCACTCATAATTTTCAGCAATTTATTTTTTTAATTAAAAAATAAACTGAATACACTTATACCTTACCATTCAAGTTTCAAAAAAACACGTGTAAAATGAAATATTCTGATAACCTTGCATTTCTCAGGCATGCACTAAACAAAAACAATCAATATTTATTATTCCAATTTAAAAAAAAAAACAATATCGGTTTTATTTTTTAGAGATAAAACGTTATCGGGAAATTTTAGATCAGGTCAGGGTATTTTTTTTTTTTTGTTAAGAAACACTCACCTTGAAATGCTGCATATTCAAATATGTAAGTTGTAAGGTCAAATTTATTTTTATCAAATTCATGTAATCAATAATTGTTATTTATTTGACGGAGGAAAAAAAGTACTGTTTGATAGAATTTCTAAATACAAAGAAAACATTTTCACAACGTCGTAAAATAATTTTAATTAGCATAATAAAAAAAAATATATTTTTTCAACTATTTTTAAGGGTTCAAGTAAAGTACAGTCCTGTAAAGTTGTTTTTTTTTCAACTATACTATTTGGTTAATTTACATCCATTAGTTAATACATTATGTGTTTGCTTTATATTTGCTCATATTATGCCACCCTGTGACCAAACAATGAAAGAAAAACCTTAACACAAACACTAGCAGTCTTCCATCGGTTGTTGGCAATGTGCTGGTTTTACAATGAGGTGTTTTATTGAAAATTGTTTAGGGTTTTTCATTTTTACGATTTGCTCAACCGACTTTAACTTTTTGGCAGATTTCTTTTTTTTTTTAAATAGCAAGTCAATTAGGTCAAAAACTCTATTGTTTACCTATAAAATGTATTTTTTTTTTTTTTTAATAAAATATGTACACCTTTTTTTTTATCGAAGAATATCCAAGAAATAAAATTCCAATGACAAGATGGTAAACATATTTATAGTTTGTTTGTTTGTTTTTTTTTTCGAAGCCTTTGCCTGTGGTGGACGTCACCAAAGAAGAGGAAAAGTATGGCAACAACGGCGACAAGTTCAACAGATTCGGTCGAGGCATAATAGGCAGCGTGGAAACCTTGTCCAGTGTGTTGACTTCGGCCCTTTCGGTAAGTTGTCTCATCATAATTCTCACTCAATAAAAAAAAAAATAACTATTAAAATATATTTAGTTGAAAAAAAAGGTGAAAATTGGGTACCTAACTGGTTGAAAATATTTGTCTCGCACAAAATAACAAAACTATATTATTTAACATACAGGATATTAAAACTATTTAACATTACTTCAAATGTAATAACCCAAAACCGGTTATCGACCAGCCAACACTTTTAGAAAATTATTCTTAATTTAAGAAGTAAACACATGTTACCATTCAAGTCTCAAAAGTCGACAGAGCCCTGGATAATCGACTAAAAAAAATGTAAATATTAAGTGTCTTCAAAAAGAAAAACTAAACAAAATTTCAATTATTTTAAAAAGAAATGAATGTCTTGTTCTTAACAAACCACACTGTACATATTGTGATATACATTTATAGACAGGTTCACGTCGTCATGCTATTTAAAGGTGGTCCCCATCTTCTCTTATATTTTTGACCAATGTGTTTAGGGAACTTCACACTTAACAGCTAGACTATGTAAATATCAGCTGAGGACATAACTATTGTCGTTGTACTTGGCTGTGCGGGTTCTTTTAATTGACATTTTTATTGAAGTTATTTCCAACCGACAATTATTGTCGGTTTCGTCGGACAAGCTAGAGAAAAAATGATGACTGGCGTTATCTACATTGTATTGGAAACTCGACGTGACTTGTTTTTTGTACCCAATTGCTACACTTGGATGTGCAACGCTAATCCTTTATATTTTGCTGGAACGGTTGTTGTCGGCTTTCCATCGCACAATATAGGTTAATTTACTTGTTCCTTACTTTTTCCAAGTCTTATGTTGACAAATGATGTTGCTAACAAAATGGACTATCGAGGTTAACATTTGGAAAATCAAAATTCGAATAAAACGTCATCTAGAACTCATACTTTGCCGTAACTTTATATATATATATAATAATTTATATTTTATATTTATTTTAATATTTGTGTTACATATTGTTTTTATGTAATGTGATCTCAATTTTTCACAATTTTTTTTTCTCAACTTTTCAATCTTCAATGGTAACGCGTACATTGCATTAACACTTTTGAATTGGGAATAATTTATTAAAAATGTTCGACTGGTTAGGTTAGAGTTTCAAGTTTTCAAGCAGGAAGAAAGCTCTTCCCCTCCCATCCTAATTTGTAAACTCTATTAACTTTAAAAAACAGTAGTTCGAAACTGTTCCAGCAACCAGTCAACATTTTTAGTAAAATATTCATTATTTAAAAAGTTTATAAAATATATACGTTACCGTTTAAGTTTCAAAAGTTGCTATCAAAAAATCTAATTTAGTTTGTGGACAATCGAGATCACATTATAATATAAAAAATCTATAAAAAATGTAATTCAATTATTAATTAAATCCAGTGAGATATTGAGTGGCCCACGACAAAAGAATCACCCTATACATATTTTATTTTTTATTCGTTAACTAATTAAATTTTGGCCAATAAATTTGTTTTTTTTTTTAATCATAGGTAAATGCGTTTTAAATTAAACTATAGGCTCTATTTATTGTGTTCGGTAAAAGTTGTATTTGTTCTTTGATTTAGAATACTTTAAAATAAACGAAAAACATTGTGGTCTCAGATTCATTATGGGCGTTAATTTGGAGCGATGAATTATATATATATTTTTATTATAAATATTAATTATTAACAATCGGCGAATTCTTTTTCAGTTTCCGGTTGACACGGCCAAGAAAATTTCCAGAGGTGCTACGGAAGCGTTGAACAACTTGGGCGGTAGAATCGTCGGCTTACAACGATAAACACTATAAGAACATATTGTTAAACACAAGACGATTAGCATATTATATTATACTTTTTTAATGTGTAAAACATGTCTCGATAATATTAGATCGAGCGCTAAAGGTGTTTACGGAAATGTACAAACTAGTTGATAGCTAATAACCATTTTTTTATGTGTAGTTTTAATATTTTGTACATAACATAATGATATTAATAATAATAAAATATTAAAGTATGTTCGACGTCATTACTGTTATTGACTTTAAAAAAAAAAAAAAAAAATACTTACTGCGTACACCAGCCAGTTAAAATATGTTTGTTAGACTCGGTACAACAGTGTAAAAAATAATAGTAATATCCCATTGCAATCCACAAAGAATTTGGACAAGTGCATTTTTTTAAACTCTATAATTTAGAAATTCCCATATTGACTCATCGAATAACTATGGCGATTTGTTGGCCTAAAATTATGCGACCACTCAATTTTGATTAGGAAATTTTACAAGAAGTATGGGTTGTCTTGAACTTTGGGTAAATTAAAAAAACATACAGTTTCAAGATTAAAGAAAACATAAAAATTCACAATTTGTCAGTACAGAAGGCCATACATTCGTGTTGTATCATTAAAAAAAAAAACTGCTATCTAGAAAATATGAAGTTGTTAAAAATAAGAACTTAATTTATCTATTTGAAAACGCCATCAATTAGGTGCGGCTAATTTAGTAGGAAATTTTAAGTTCAGATTTAATAATGTTCCACTTAATAGCTTTCTTAGCATTTTATCTATTCTTGTGGTCTTCGCGTGATCCCACAAAGGAATACCAACCATTCACTTCGAAGTTGAACAATAGCCCAATTATTGAAAAAAAAAACCATTAATCAAGTAATGAGTGCATGTAATTTGCATATATTGAAAGCAAAACCGGTATTGCTTTTCACTCGTGTAATAATCTTATCTTTTAATTAAAACTAAATTTATTATAACTATTGTATTAGATCATAGTTCATCATTTAGAAACGGCATATTGTAATTTAAATAAATCTATTCAGTAGTAATAAATAGATATTCATTTATTGTTTGTTTATTAATCTTATATTTTTTAGTGCAGAAAATTTAGCATTTTTTTTTTTTTTAATAAGAACCAAAATAAATATTAATTTTAATATATTTATTTTAGTTGATAGTGGATTAGAGATAAAATATTAGAAATACTAGATTGCAGGACACATCCATGTATCTGCATGAAGTTTTGATACTTTTAACTTTCTTTTATTTTTCAATCCCCTCCAAAGTTGTAAGAAACGACGTTTGTGTAATTTTCAGTATAGTTTTGTACGTTTTAATCATTTTCTAAGAAAATCTGATTTGTTTTTGCATTAGAAAAACTACAAATTTCTAAACTAATTATAAATTCAAAGTTACATTTTTTTCTCAATAAAAAAAAACGGTATATAATTAAATATTAACTCCTTCCCTTGCCTGCTTTTAAAAGGGTAAAAAGTATTAATTAACATTTTCCACGTCCAAATATTATAAGTTCCTTGAACGCCGCTGATGGTAAAACATTTTTTGGATATTTTAATTGTTTTCAATCGCACCTAACACAACTTTGATCACAATACAAACATAAATGCAATTCACAGTAAGGTCAGTGATAAGCAGAGAGTTCATAGAAGTTTCAATATCAAATTAATGGTGTAATAGGAAAAAATAAAATTCAAAATAATACGTGTATATTTTTGATTTTTAATTTTTACAATTCCGCTTAAAACGTACCTAATAATATGTTCTGACCAAAAGTGATTCGGTCAAAAAAAGCTATTTTTGAATAGACACAAAAAACTTGTAACCGTTTGATTAATTAATGAATTAAATTTTCGTTTCACATTCTTTAACCATGTTTAATGACATATTATGTCCTTTGTCATTTGATTTTTCAGTGTTATTATTAATTATACTTCCTTTTGCTGTGAATGAGTTTTTAGAATACATTATTATTATTTTTATTACATTGATTTTATTTAATACTTAATACAATAAAATAGAATAATATTTAACGCGGTTTGCAAAAAAATATCAAATGAATACACTATATACATCTATTATAACACAAGTATAGAATATTTATATACATATATAGTTATATACGATGTGTACGTACGTCGTATAGATAATAAAAATGCACATTGCACTCAGTACATAAAATTTGCATACCTACTTTGATAAAAAACAAATATGAAGCATAATAAAGTAACATAATATTATATTAATTATTAAAAAATTAGATTTCCCATCTGAAATAATTGGATTTATTCGTGGAAAACTATTGGCGTTAAAGGTAGGTAACAACGTTAATACATCATTTTTTTTTTTTTGTTCATATGTTATTAGAAGAAAATCATTATAAGCATTGGGTAAAATACCATTATTTATTGCTGTGTTATAATTTATTTCTGATACAAGACAAATCATTTTTTTTTTAGATGATGTGTTGTAAAAGGATGTAATTTTTCATTTTATGTAGGTATATCTTTTTTAGATCCTTAAATGCAATTTTTTTTTCGCATACCTGTACCCGAGATGTACAAATTGAATAGGAAAAAAGTGACGGATTTGTAATAAGAATGTCGACTAGATTGGCCGAAAAATGCAAAAGCACGTTAAAATAACGACCGGTATTGACATGCAAATGGATGCTATGATGCTAAGTGCCGACCGGGTTTGAATATAATTTAGTATTAACTGTTTTGCCTGAGTTTCGGTGGTCTTCATTCCACCCTATAGTATATAAGGATGACATCAAGTAAAACTAATAAAAAAATGTTATGGACTTGTCAAAATTACCCACCAAAAAAATAAATTAGGAGCACGAACCTAATATTTTGTATTTTCTTAATAAATACCTTAGTGATTTAACTTAATACTTGTTAAGCTTAAATAATTATTTCACAAAGAAATATGTGCTATTAAGTAAATGTTTAATCGACTTGTCTTAGGTAGGTTAACTGAAGGTACATAGAGCAACCAGATATCTATCTTATACAGATATAGATATAGATCAAGGTACGAATGTATGTAATAAAAGTAAACCCTGTATTTCTTTCCACTCGTGAAAAGCTGGTTTAATAATCTTATCACTTGTAATAAATTATAATCAAATATCAAATGTATTATAGTTATTAAATAAGAACATAATTTATCATTTAGAAGCGACACGTAGTAAAAATAAATCAACTCAATATTAATAATTCGATTATCATATTTTATTTATTTGTTTATTAATCTTATTATTTTAAGTACAGCAACCCTGGCATTTTTTTTAAAAGAACAAAAAAAAATACAGGGTGTTAATTTTATGGTGAACCACTCATATATCATAGGGTTTAATAAGACATTTAATTTTGTTCCATAATGATTCTATACAATGTGATCAAAAGGATAAAAACAAAAAAAAAGTTGTGAAAAATTTAGATCACATTTTATAAAAACATTAAAAAAAAAAAATTTTAATTGCTTATTAAAACCTATGAGTTATTAAGTGGTTCACAATAAAAATTATCACTCTGTACATGTTTAGTGTTAATTTTAAATCGAATTTCAAGCCTTTAAATTCTGCAATAAACCATAATCTACCTAATAATTGTACTAAACATGTACCGCGACAAATTTAGACAAATAAATAAATAGATACAAACCTACGTCAATACCAATTTATTGAACATTTTATTATTTATTTTTTACTTCTTTTTAATAAATGTATAAAATGTGTAATAATATTATACAGGGCGAAGGAAGGTATTTTCGTGGCATAATAACAGTTATTTTAACAATCAGTGTGATTTTCAAGACAATTTTCTAATAGGGAATTACGCGATACGATCAAACAAACTATATCACGAAATTGCTTATGCCACGAAAATACCTTCCTTCATCCTACATATAAAATTGTGTCCCTATAGTGAAAGTTTGATAGTTGTTTTTTAATAGTATTTTAAAGGATTTTTTACTTTTGTTATAACCGTACGTATAAAAATAGACAATGTTTTGGGCAAAAGAGTATAATAACAATTGTCAACCGCAGGTTGGGTACTATTCACAAAACTATAAACACGTCCTAAAAAGATAAATTTTTAGTTATTATTCCGAATTAACTCAATCAATTTATTTTTATACTTCGTACATTTTATAATCGCGTGCAATAACTGTTTAAACAGAGATACGGATTTATTAGCAAACGCGCAAAATGTTTTAAAATGAACTATTTAAAACATAAGGTTTTTTTTATCAATTCTAAATCTATCCCGTGTGGTTCCCGGGCAAGAATAGGACCACGGAATGTTCCTCCTGTCGTAAGAGGCGACAAAAAGAACCTGATGCAGGGTAGCAGCTGCATCAGTATCAAGCTAAGGTGGAAAATGAATGACATTGGAACGGCTTAGTCTTGAAGAAATGCAAGCAGAGCTGAGTACAGCGGTATGGTTGCATCACTGCGATGTGGAAGGAGACGGAAGACCCACCACATTATTAATTGTTCCTAGTAAAAATCATCATGGATGCACAATCTGAGGCAATGGTTTGATTACAGCAACAACCAAGTATTCAAAGCGGCCCAAGAGACAATCCAGATTAATATGATGATTTCCAACCTTCGTTAAGAGAGCAATTCCAAGAAGAAGAAATCTATCGCGATTTAAAAATCCAACTACGCAAGTATTGTATATTTGCGTGTTCAATTAAGTTAATTAATGAAACAATTATGAAACACAAATCTTGCAGTTTTATCAATCTTTTGAGTTGTATACTTCATCGTTAATTAAATGCGTGGGCATTCGTCAGCACTTCTAGACAGATAAACTGAAATTTTGAACGTCCTATAAGGTTACTGAGGTCAACTTGTCTCTAAGTGTCTATGCAAAAGCCAGTACAGTGGAGTGTACACAGACACTCGAGGAGTATGCGAATCTTCGAACGATGACTATTGTCGGTGTTATGGTAAATTGAGAGATCCAATATATTTGGTTCCCAGGGGTTCCGAGCAAAAGCTCAATTGAAAAATGGTAAGTAATAAAAAATGCTATTTATTTATTCCGCTGCGATTCTAAATATATTCTGTTATTTTTGATATCATTACCACATCATGTAAACCTTGGATGTTGATGTTTTTGCATATTTTTTAGAAATATGAGATTCACGAAGACTAGATTTTAAAACAGCAAACATATATTGCTAGACAGATAAACT